TGAGCCCAACATCAGATGTAGATTTTAGGACTGTGTTTAATGGCCTATCCAAAACCTAATTTGTTAATAACCGAAGTGGAACAATGAAATCTAGTAGAAACCAATGTCAGGAAATTCAGGGTCTGGCTTGAAACTCTCAGGAAAGGAACTCTGCGGAAAGATTTCTTTAAAGCCCTTTGGAGCTTGCCAATTTTTTTTGACATCTGACCTTGAACATCCAGGCAATGAACTACTCTTATCCCTCAGCAAGGAACCACTTAAACTACCTTAAAGAAGTGGTTTACACTTACTACTGAGCTGCTCTTCTTGAGAAAGGAGACTGTGATCAGTTTGATAAAAATCTGTAGAGATCGAAAGAGCTTTGGGATTCGATCTTTTTGAGGTGTGCTGGTAAATTGATTCCTGAGTTTTAAGTCAGATAGAATATGGGATTGAGATAAAAATAGAATGTCCTATATGAAAATTTTTATTCTGAAATGGAGCAAACATCACAATGGTACATTTCTATCAAATATTTTTATTTGCAATATTAATAGTAGATGTGAAAATTTTAGTTAATTATGTTGTAAGTAATATTTACTTCAGGCAATAAATTGAATGCTGTGACAATAACTCCACTACTCTTTGTTCTTTAACATATTCTTATCATCGTCTTATATTTCAGATTAGAAATCTATATATTAGAAGAACACTCTGGAAAATGAGTTACATATAACCAGACTTTTTTATGCTTTGATTCTTACCACTTTGTTTATTTATTTATGTGATTATCTTAAGGATACATTTTTTTTTCTTTCAGTAAGCTTTGTTGTTACATTGTGAAATCATTGATTTAGTTAATTCTTTCTGCCATGGTAATTCTTTTTCTAGTGACAATGTCTGTGTTTGCTTCTTACTGGGATTTTGTGTTTTCCTTTTTTCTTATATCAAGTCCTTTTGCTCTGCTGATTGTTCAGTCACAGGGATTTCATAGCATAGCATGAAGTGGCCCTCATCATTAGTTACTATTTCTTTGTAGAATTTTCCTATTTTTCAAACACACATGTATAAATCTTGGGTTTTAGAAATTATTTCTACCAGTTATCTGTTATTTCTTAGAATCAGTTTGGGCAAACCTTTTAATCATTACACTTTCCTTTCCTCATATGTAAAATAGAATGATTAGTTAAAATTTTAATTTAAAAATTTATTCTGCTCATGAATATTATGGTTTATTAATAGTTTATAGGTGTGTTTTATCAAAATTTTTTCCCCTGGAAATTACCATCCTCCTAAACATCTGGAGTAAAGCAGTTTTCATCGTTGTTTAAAAGAAACATACATAAGAATTTAATTTTAATCGAAAATTTGGAATCTTCTTTCTGAATATATGTTTAATCACAGCAATATATTCTTTAAAACAGTAAGTAAGTCCTTTATTCCCTACACATAAGGTGATAAAATTATTGAGATAGATGATTACTCTTAGGTATACAATGTGTTGTTTACAAGAAAAACTTATCACAGAAACAGAGCAAAGTGTAATTCCTTCTTTACAGAGATTTTAGTCATATCTCACCCTAACATGCTTATATTGAAAATGTATTTTTTTACAAGGTCCAGTGCTAATGTAGATGTGTATGCATTTAGGGAGAAATGAGTGTACAGGGAATATTTTGTTGCCAGGTCATTGTCAATTCTGTAGTCTTAAGTAATAATCATTGGACTTCCCATTTTGCATCTCTAGCCAGAGTCCCTCCTCTCTCCATCACAAGGCACCATCGTATCCATTGGGAGTTACTGGATTACAGAGACTCATACTAGTTGCCATTTTATTAATACTTGTTTTTAACCTCTTCTCTTGGCTAAACACTGTTTTACTTTTATTAGGTTATCTGAAAGGGCTTCAAGAAATATGTTTAAATTAGGCTGTAAGAAATCTTTTTCTTGAAGAACCCAAATAATAACCTTATGAACGAAAAACCTGAGCAATTGTTTAACTTCCATCCTTTCTCCAAGTTCATAGAGTTTCCGGAGGCAAGCTGTTTTGCAAGTGGATTCCACTCCTGCTTCCAACCTTGTTTTAATCAGGGAGCTCCACCGAACACTGTCCACCATGGGTAACCATTATCGCATTTGATGCATCAGTGTCACAGTGTTTAGCATCACAGCAACCACAAGTTACCTCTGTACAGCAAATGGACAGATCAGTGCTACACCACTTAGAAGAATGTTTGACCAAAAACAATTAATGCCTTTTTAAATAGGAATCTAAATACAATCAATTCACTCCTGATGGCTGATAAACATTGCACCTATGTCTCACCTGAAAACAAGATCAAACCTCTGTAGAATCAAGTTGCTCCAAACCCTTGTCTTTTTAAAATAGGAAGCCAAATACAATCTCTATCTATCTCTCTATCTATATCTCCAAATCTCTATCTCTATCTATATCTGTATTTATATGTATATTTATCTCTATCTATATATCATCTAAATCTATATAAATGTATCTATATTTAAAATGTTAAAGTATGCTGAAGTTAGTAAGAACCTGTGTTCTTAAACAATAACAAATTTTCCCTTCTTAATTTTTTTCCCCCCAATGCAAGAACATGAGGGATTTTCTTACAAGCTTAAGCAGGGACTCTGTGCACACCCCGACTCAGTGGCAGCGTGGCAGAGCCCCCATCCCTTTCTAAGTTTTAAGCCACTCTGTTTATCTGTCCCGACTTCATGTTATATGTGATCACATCTCATTAATTTTATCTGAGTATACATTTTCCTTCCATGTAGAATCACTCTTTCTCTGTGGGGTTGTTGGTAGGTGCCACTGGTCATAGTTTTTGTCATTTCTGACTCATATGGAAGGAAACACTGCCTGGACCCAGCTGGCCGTCCTCAGAGTCCTGCTGTCTATGAGTTTATTGTTGCAGCCACTGTATCCATTCATCTTGTTGAGCATCTTCCTCATTTTCGTGGACTCCCCAGTTTACCAAGTAAAGTGCTGTTCTCCAGAGATTAGTCTCCTTATGACGTTTCCAAAATGTGTGAGACCATGTCTTGCCATCCTTGCTTCTAAAGCACGCTCTGGGTATATTGCTTCCAGGGTAAATTTCTTCATTCTTCTAGTGGTTTGTGATATATTCCATATTCTTCAGTAGCACCGTAATGCACAGACATGTATTCTTCAGGTTTCTTTCCTTTGTGGTTATTTTTAAGTATCCATTGAATCTGCTCCAAGCTACAGAGAAGAACAAAATCCCACCTGATCCTGAACCATCCTAACAGTCTCTGTTGTGTTTTAACCTATTGTTGCAGGCATTTTGTCAATCAACCTCATAGAGGGTCTTTTTCTTTCTTAATGATCCTCTATTTTTCCAAGTTCGATGTTCTTTCACGGATCATCAGCCCCTCCTGATAACGTGGCCAAAGTGACAAGAAGTCCCATCATCTGGTCTCCTAAGGAGCACTCTGCACCTTCTCCAAGACAGATGTGTTTATTCTTATGATTGATTGGCTGAGAATTTTTGGTTACTCTGTAGTCATGCTCTTCCCCCGCCCCCCTTTCTGTGTTTAACAAGATTAAAGCAAATTCCTTTCATTAATCTTTCACTCTCACCTTTTTTAACATACTATTTTGAGATCAGTGCCTGTTCATTACATTTAAATCTGGATAGAAATATTTATGCATTATGACAAGTTTTTTTTTCTCCCTTCCCTCCACTTAAGGCAGAACGTAAACTAAAATAAACAAAGTGAAAAATCTCCACATACTTGTTAAAACCATCTTAGCTATACCAGAATTGTTTCCTTAATTAGTTGCTGGTGTGTTTTCAGTTTATACTGGGAAAGAGGTACAAAAGGAACTCCACTAGAACTGGTGGGTACATGGTGCTTTGTCTTTTAGTCCCTTTGTTGGACTTGTACTTGCTGTCTGCTCCCATTGAGTTATGTATGGTTCACAGTGACCCTATGAACAACAGAGGTGATTTCTGTCTTACTCTGCCCCATCCATCATGCAATTGCTGAAATCACTGTTTCAATCCATTTCACTGAGGGTCTTCCTTTCTTTCACTGACCTTCCACTTTTATGATCATGATATCCTTTTTCTGGGAATAGTGTCTCTTAACCACATGTCCAAAGTATGTGAGATGAAAATTTACCATCCTTGCCTTTAAGGAGCACTGTGGTTGGACTTTCTCCAAGAGAGATATCTCTGTTCTTTTGGCAGTCTGTGAGATATTCAGCATGCTTCTCCAACACCACTGCTCAAAAGTAGCAATTCTTCTTCCGTCATCCTTATTCATTGTCCAGCTCTCAATTGCATAGCAAGTGATTGGAAAAAAAAACAACATGGCTTGAATCAAGCATAGTTTAGTCTTCAAACTGACCTCATTGTTCTTTGGAACTTTGGAGAGGTCCCTGACTGCAGACTTTCTCAATGTTCTACATCTCCTGATTTCCTGATTTCTGATACTAATGATATTGATTGTGGATCCATGTAAGATGTTACTCTGTGTAAAGTGCAACTTGGACCGATCTTTTTTAGGAATATGCTTAACGCCTAAGATATCAAACTCTCAAAGTTTTATTTTTGATTGGGCCTTTGATTTGGTGACTATGTTTAACAAATACATTCAATAAGATAGATGAACATTTGCAAGGAAAATGGAATTAAATTACATGTAAGCCTGTACAAACACTTAAGATTGTCTGTATCATGATACACATCTGGTCCCCTTTCCCTCCCACTTTTGACTCTCTATTCTTTATACACACTCATGTAGAAGTCCATGATTGGTTGTCCCCTGGGGAGAGATTTAATGGGAAGTGAACCAGGGTAGAGGCCTCTGAGGCACAGTGCCCTCGACAAGCCCCCAGTTGCTTGGATCGAAGGTGGATATTGAGGATATGTTTGTGTTTTCACTCTAAATGAAAAAAGTCATATATTACTTAAAATAAAACTTGTGTAAGTCATTCTTTTCTCTTCTTTTTTGTTAATTGGTCACCTTTATAGTGTTTGTTGAAAAAGTGCTGAAGAAACTTTTCCCTCATGTTCCAAGTGGCCAAGAAGAGCTTGTACCAGTGACTGGAGCCTCGGAAAAACCACCTGAGAAGATAACACCTCAGAAAGCGAAACTCAAGAGAGCTCACCCATTGACAGGTAACAATAGATTATAAAGATACTTATCTACCTTTGGGAATTTATATTTACACTGGGGAAAATACTCTTTGTGCTTCTGGGCTCTTATGTGACGATTTTGTTTTGAAAAATTCTTGACAACAGGATTGCTGCATCGTGGGAGAGGCATAACAGGTGAATGAAAAATTAACTTGGGGAGGGAAGAAACCTATACAATGTAAGCATTTTCCAGCTGAAGACTAGTTGATAGTGTTATTTTGTGTTTCTAGTTCATTTGTTTTAAGTTTTATTTTGGCTTTCAAGTTATTATTTCAGCTAGCCTTTAACTTTCCTATAATAAGAGTACATGCTTCTCCTTATACCATTGTCACTTTTATCTGTACTGGTACTTAGATGGCCCTTTTGACCCTTCGTTTAACTTGTGTCCACTAAGGGAAAGGTCCCTGGTATCCTTCCTGTGTTTTACTCTCACTTGTCAGTGACAGTTACAGCCTTAGACAAAGTCACTTTAGCAGGACATGTCTTCACTGAAAGCATCATTAACTCTAGCTCTGTAGCAGTGCACCCATATCCACAAAGTGAGAGCTATTTGAGGGGAGAAATGTATATGGAAGATCCCAGTGGGCAGCAGAAGCCAGATAGTGCCCAAATAGATATGTAAAGCCAGAACTGGACTGCTGAATATCCTTTCTTGGAATCATTTTCATAGCTCTTTAACAGCTTTCTTTCACTAGCCATTTGTTCTCCATGTGCTTCTGTTTCTGAAGGATCTGTTCTTTCTCCTGCTGGCCCCTTTAAGTAACGTAACCTTGTCAAGAGATCATTTAATTCTCCTTTATTCACATATCTTATAACCATATCTTATAACACTTGCTGAGTGGATCTCAGCAGGCAGGCCCAGTAGGCCTACAGATTTGTTTCCTGACTCACAAGTCAGGTCTCCTTTTACTTAGAACACATTTTACCACAGAAATAATGTTATATATGGTGATTAGATTTCTAGCCTGGACCCCCAAATCTATTGAACCTCTAATAGAGTGAACCACTGAGGTCAGTTTTTCTGGTACCAGTGGCATATATTAAAAGGAAGAAAGGAAACATATCCTTTACCTCTCTTACATATAGAGCTTACGCTTCTTAAGTATAATTTTTTTATAATACAAAACATTGTTTTCAGTATTACCATTCCGTATTTTCCTTGAAATAAGTTTTTATTTAAAGAATTAAAGTAATTAAAAAGCATGGTAAAATGAAAGTAATTAAATAAAAGGAATAAATTGAGGATAAAGTTGAAACAGAGTGCATAGGCAGATCTTTTGAGAAGTTTGGCTGTGAATAGGGAACAGAAGGAAAGAAAGTGGGGAGCTGTGCATTATGATTTTTTTTTTAAGTAGAGTGTGCTGATTGTAATGATATGGTAAGAAGCACAAGGCTGATATGTGAAAGAGCAGAGAAAGCAGGAGGGATGAGATCTAGCCTGTGTTAAGGGGCTGGTCTTTGCTGAGGAGAAAGATACTTTGGTTGTGATCACAGGAGGGAAGGAAGTACAGCTTTGGTGGTGAGAAGATGAGGAGATCCCTTTTGAAGGATTTATTTTTCAATCAAGTAGTAGGTAAGATGATCAGCTAGAAAGTAAGTGAGCATGGGGAAGACCGACTGAAGGTATGGAGTAAAGGAAAAGTGAAATAATTGTTTTGGAGCCCTGGGGCAGGCCAAAGAGCAGCTCCTCGCTGGAGCAGTTGAGAGACCATTGAATGCTGGGTAGTCATGTCTTATGCCCTTCTGTGCAAGTGGGTTATTTTCTCTAGCATCATTTAGCTTCAAAGGGGAGGCTAGACCAGAATTTTTCTAGGTTACGCAGTGGAAGAACAACTTGATTGAGATATTTATTGAGTGAGTGAGTGAGTGAGTGAGTAAGGGAGTGATAAAAGGGAACTAGATCTAGATATTTCTTCATATGGACACTGAGTGTAAGGATTGTCCTGCCAAAACATATTCTCAGTGTTTGCAAAATCCGACCCTCTTCCTGCTAGGAGGAATCCACTCAGGTTTATGGGGTAGAATTGAGGATGCCAGATTAAACTTTTGAGGGGTTAATAGTTTCTCTCTTTCTGTCTTTCATGTTTATAGCACATTGATAAGAAATCATGGGCAATGATGAAGACAAACTATCTACTTTATTACTGATGTAGTGAATTAATCAAGGCCTTGGTCTTACTGCAAAAAAACTTTCTTTACCATTACTTCCTCTCCAAATCTAGACCTTGCTGTTTTTGTACTGTCAAGTCAGAACTGACTCATAGTTGACTCTCTGACAGATTTTCTCTGAGAGTCAGTATAATCATACATGTTAGTTTGAAGATGAAGGTGCACATGATTCAGGCCATGGTGTTATCTGTCACCTGCTATGCATCAGAGAGATGGACATTGAATAAGGATGACAGAAGAATTGATGCCTTTGAGATGTGGTGCTGGAGAGGACTGTTGACTAACCTATGGACTGCCAAAAGAATGAACAGATAGGTCTTGGAGAAAGTACAGGCTGGTTGCTCTCTGGTCACAAGGATGGTGAAGCTTTATCTTTCATACTTTGGATAACAACAGCAACACCATAATTGCACAGAGTGAGATTGCCCATCTTTCTCCTGTGAAGAAGCTGATCAATTGATTCTGTATATTCTTGCATGCCTTTACGTTTTCAAGACTCTCTAGACTCCTAGTTTAGTATTCTACTTGAGGGCTGCCATGTATACCTTATTGTGGTTTTTTTTTATATTTTTCAATTAATTTTAATGAATGGGAATTCAAGAATATTTGATCATGCTAATGCAAAACCTATACTTGGACCAAGAGGCAGTCATCAGAACAAAGCAAGGAAACACTGCATGGTTCAAAATTTGGAAGGGTCTACACCAGGGATATGTCCTGCCTCCATACCTTTTCAACTTATATGCAGATCACATTATCTGGGAGGCTGGGGTCCGTGAGGAGAAGTGTGGCATTAGGATTGGTGGAAGATCCATCACCAACCTTTGTTATACAGATGACACCAGCCCTACTTGCTGAAACTGAGGAGGACCTGAAGCACTGCAGCCTTCAATATAGGTTAAGGCTCAATACCAAGAAGACAGATTCTCACCACTGGGCCAATTGGAAGCATCATAATGGATGGTGAAGAGATTGAGATTGTTCACAGCTTTAGTTTGCTTGGCTCCAGTGTCAACACTCTTGGCACCAGTAGCCAGGACATTAAAAGACATACTACGATGGGAAAGTCTGCTGTTAGGGACCTCTCCGGGCTCCTGAAGAGAAGTGGTGTCACTCTGGAGACTGAGGAGCACCTGATACAGGCCATGATATTTGTAATCATTTGCTATGCATCAGGGAGCTGGACAATAACTAGGGAGGATATTTCGAGAATTGATGCCCTTGAGCTGTGGTGCTGAAGAAGAGTATTGAAAGTACCATAGACTACTGAGAAAATGAACAGGTTTGTCCTGGAGAAGGTTAAATCAGGCTGCTCCTTGGAGGCAAGGATTCTGAGGCTTCATCTGATATACTCTGGATGTGTTGCAAGACAACACTGGTCCTTGGAGAGGGACGTCATGCTTGGCTGGGTGGAGGCACAAGGAAGGAGGGGAAGACCCTTTGTGAGGTGGGTTGATTCAGTGACTGGGGTAATTGGGGTGGGTGTGTCAGAAACAGTATAATTGGCGCAGGACAGAATAGGATTTAGGGCTGTTGTACTTAGGGTTGCTATGAGTCGCAGGTGATTCCATGACACATAATAACAACTATAATAATGAAAGTTTACAGACTATGAATTTCCATTCATTCATTCATTGTTGCACTTTTCTTCCTGCCCAATGTGTCCCCCACCCAGTTTGCTCTTCTTTTTGAAAAGTAAAAGGAAACTCTTCTTTTTTAAACAATTAATTTTAATGAACGTTTACAGAGATTTTGGATTTCCATACATTCATTGTTATATTTTTCTCCCTGCCCACCCCTCCCCACAGTTCGTACTTGTCTTTGAAAAATAAAAGAAAAATTATTTCATTGGTATAGAATCACCATTCCCACCCCCTGCCCCAAGTTTACTCCACTATGCAACCCTCAATCTGGACTCTTGTCTTAACCGTAAGACCCAATCATATATCACTTTCAAACAGTTCTCTCCCTCATCTGTTTCAATGTAGTATACATAATTTTTCCAGTTTTTCTCAGTCTCACCCAAACCCTGATGTCAGTCCTGTTTTATAGTAGTGGCACCATGCACCTGTCCTTTTGTAACTGAGATATTTCACTCAGCATAATGTCCTTCAAGGTCACCCATTTTGAATAATATTGCATGAGTTCCTTGTTTTTCAATGCAGCGTAGTATTCCATTGTGTGAATATACCACAGCTTCTCTACCCATTCGTTTGTTGATGGGCACTTAGGTTGTTTCCAACTTTTTGCTATTGTGAACAAAGCCACAATAAACATGGGTGTGGGAAACTCTTTCATTGTTATACAATCCCTCCCCCCAAGTCCACTCCATTCTCGTTCTGAACCCATGTCATGACAATAATACCTAATCATATATCACTTTAAAACAGTTCTCTCTCTCATCTGTTTCAATGCAGTATGCATAATTTATCCCATCTTTCTCAGTCTCCCCCAGTCCCAATGTCAGTCCCATTTTACAACAGTGGCACTATGCAGTATTTGTCCTTTTGCGACTGAGATATTTCACTCAGCATAATGTTCTGCATTCCTTGTTTTTCAATGTAGTATAGTTTTCCATTGTGTGAATATACCACAGCTTTTCTAACCATCTGTTTGTTGATGGACATTTAGGTTGTTTCCAACTTTTTGCTATTGTGGACAAAGCCGCAATAAACATGGGTGTGCATATATCTGCTTGGGTGGCAGTTATGGTTTCTTTGGAGTATATTCCCGGTAGTGGAATTGCTGGGTCAAATGGTATTTCTATTTACAACTTTTTGAGAAAGTGGCATACTGCCTTCCATAGTGGTTGA